TATTTTTTTGTCGTTTTTTTTTTTTGTCTTTTTAATGTCAACTCTTGTCACTTGACCTTTCCCGTAGAGAATGGAAAAGATAGAGCAGAAACAAGAAAAATTTTTTTTTCTCCACAAAACCTTTTAAAATCTTATTCTATACATAAAACTTTTGAAAATGGTATTTTCTTCAAAACAGCAAAACTTAGTTTTTTTTCTCTCTCTTTTTTAACACTGATAGTTTTGACTTTCAAATTATTAAAATATATCTTCAAAATAATCCTTATCAAAAAATTTCTTCTTCTTTTTTTATAAAAATAAATTATGCCAAATTTTTTGTGTGCTTTTTCAGACAACCAACTTTTGGGTTTCATAAAAAAAAGCAGTTTTCAGGATTTTTTATGCTGTATAACTTTGAATTAACAGATTTGTTTTTGCAGTCTTTTTTTTTTCTTACTTTCTATCAAAATTTGATCATCAAATAACTGCACTTATAGAAAGTACGAAGCAAAGATAAAGCTGCTTCAACCAAATTAATTTCTATTTCTTTTTTTCTAAAAATACAATAACGATTAGTATTTTATCAACTAAATTCTATAATTTGATTTTATTGGTATAATAGAAAATAATAAAATAATATCGCTGACATCGTTCCTTTGACCGTCATCGTCACCACTGTCATCAACTGTATCGGTTTTTCAACAAAAGCAATATCAATAGTACGAGAAAAAAAGAATTTTTTTTGTATTTTTGAATAAATTTTTGTTCAATTTAAAAATAATTAAATTTTATCTTTTAGACAGTATTCGATTTTGGCTTTTTAACTTTTTGCTTTGCTTCGTTTTTTTTTTTTTGTTACTTCTTTTTGATGCAAAAAAACACTACTGGGAATTTAGCGTATTTTTTCCGCTTTTTGACACGTTCTCAATTTCTCAATTTTTTTTCAACTTTTTATTTATTATTTATTATTTTCTATTTTTTTACTGTTATTTTTTTAAAACCAATATTTTGTTTACAAAATTGGTAAAATTGATATATATATATATGTAACATCTGATCCGATGGATATATAACGACAATATCAGATAGTGATTTATCATTTGGTGTTTGCCAGCAGTATACGGTATAATCAGCGCAAAACACTATTGTCTTTACAGCTCTTTTAACATTATTCAAATAAAATGTTGAAGAAAAAGCAGAAAAAAAAAGATTATAATAAAAATATGCATAATATTTACTGCACGAAAAAAAAAAAAACAACAATTCAAAAAAAAAAAAACAAAATGAAGTTTTGTTAAATAAATCAACAACAAAAAAGAAAAAACTGATAATAGTATTTGCAGCGAACATACGATCGTGTAATCAACGAAGCAAGTTTTGGTGTCAATTCTGTTTCCTTACATATTCGTATTGTTAATGCTGGCCTTATAACAAAGTTAGTTCAGTCTAACTGCTAACTAGAGTTTCTTTTCTTCTTTTTTTTGACTTTATCATTATCAGTAGTAGAAGTAAGGAAAGTAATGTTGAATACTGTCAATAGCAGCACTGCTTACAGTGCCTCTGTTCTATCTGTATCTGCCACTCTTTTTATACACTAACTGAGGTTCTGTGGTAAATGTTTTGGTTAGCAAAAAAATAAATAAATAAATAAATAAATAAATAACTTTAATTTTTATTTGTTAATCAGTTCAAAAAACTGAAGTTAAAGTGTTTTTTTTGATAGTATCAATTTGACACCCAAAGTTTTTTCTACTTTTTTTTTTACTAAATTTCGATAAAATTTTCTTGCAAATTAATGATTAAAACTTAAAATTTAGTTTTTGTACTTTTAATTATTTTTTTTTTTTTAGCAGTTCAAATCATCTGTATATTACCAAAAATATTGTCTGTAAACAGCTTCTGAATAATTCTGTAGCTGTTATATTATGGCATTATACAGACGACGATATAGCATTATTGTCGACAGCTGCATATGCATTAAGTTTTTATCATGTTCCAACAATTGGAATCGACATTCGAAGTGCTGCATTTTCACAGGTTTTTTTTTGCTGTTGTTGTTGTTGGTATATTTTCTCTTTTTTTTTTTTTCTTTTAGATGATTTATTTGCAAATAAAATATGATTTAAGAACGAGAAATACAGAAAAAAAAAAACAGAGTATCAACCAATTGAAATATTAAAATTTGCTTATGCAGTTTAGAAACAAAAAAATCTCTGATTAAATTTAGCTACCAATGATAATTAAACAGCTAAGGAACAGTAAACAGAGTTAATGGTTTTTTTTTCTTGTTCTTGTTGATACATATTTTTGACTTGTATCAAACAACAAACGAAGACGAAAACAGTACAGTATTTGACGACTATAATAAATGTTTTGTTTCTTATTTTTTTGTTTTGTTTTGTAAAAAAGTAATTATAGTTTTTTTTTTCATGTTTTTGAGTGCTTTTTCTATCTTTCCTTTATTTTTTTTATTTTGATTACTGGCAAAAACCTACTGTAGTGATTCATATATATATTTGGTTGACATTTTTGATTACTGCATTTCGCCGGCAATACATCATTCCTATTTTTTTTGCAGTCTAAATATCAAACTTTTTTACGTACATCACCACCATACAGCTATGAAGCTCTTGTGGTGTTACATACATTGGAGGTGCTCAACTTTCGTGAAGCTGTTGTGGTATTTGTCAAAGATGATATTGATGCATTGGATTTTGTGATTACTTTACAAAAAAATGTCGCTCAATTCAAAATACATGTTTGTAGTTCTATTTATAGTTTAAAAATATTAAATTTCTTTTTTCATTTAAACTTAAACGATTAAGAGAAAAAGATAATAAAAAACAAAAAATAAAATATACCAAATTTTAAGCATTTGTTTATTCAATTCCACAAAACACAGTGGTAAGAAAATAGAGTTTTGCATTTGGACAATTTTTCTTTTTGTCTTTTTAGCAGTTTAACATATGACACTTATTGTTGTAAATATTTCAGGTACAAAAATATATTGAAATTGATATGCACAGTGAACTGAATACAACAGTTGAAGAGGATTTCGAAGAGGTTACCTCAAATATTATAGTGTTGTTTGCAAAGTACGACAATTGTATTACTGTTATTTTACTTTTTTAATTAGTTATTTTCCTAACCTATTTTCCATTAAAAAAAATATATACATATAAGCCATAAAGCTTACTGTTTACATATAGCAATTTTAATTGGTTAATTAAAAGAAAACAACGATTACTAATTAACTGTTGTTACCTTAGGAAGGACGATGCAGAAATAATTTTCGATAGAATTTCAGTATTTTCAACATTAGGAAAAATGTGTATTGTCAATGAATTGGCATCACAAGCAAAAAACGTTCCAAATGGTAGACTAATACATTTTGTTCGATTTTTTTCTTCTTCTTTTTTTTTGTTTTATTCATTTTTAAGCACATAGAATACAAAGATGAATAAGTCATTGTTCAATTCTATTTACCATTGACATTCATCAAGTAAATAAATCAATCCTGGTGTTATTGGAACATCTTGTTCTCTTCAGGAACTTTATCGATGCGTTTAAGTCAAGATGCTCTATCAACGTTACATGATGCACTTACAACATTGGGATATCAGATACAAATTTTTACTGACAAAGATCCTCAAACAATATTAAATTGTCCGTCAGTAAAAGTTGAAGAGAATAAATGGATTGCACAAACTGGAATGGAATTTTACAGGTGTTTTTTTACGTCTGTACAAACTACTAATTGAATAGTCAACTAGCCAAAAGTCTAGTCGTCTGTTGCTTATGCAACCGATAAAGTGTTCTGCAACAGGGCAAAAAAACCTATGCATCTTTTAGAAAAGTTGAAAATGATAATGAACAAGAATCATGTTTTTTTTTAGTCATACTTTCTTTTGTTACTTTTATAATGAACATCATAACTAGAGAAAAATTATTCTTTTTTTAGAAGACTTCTACTTCGTACCCTTGGCTATGATCGATTTATTGAGTTTGATGAATCTGGTAATCGTATCAGCGCTCCTTTTGAACTCACCAACCTGGTTGATGGAAAAATCGTTAAAATTGGCTTTATTGTAATTCAGTTTTTATTGCTATTGTTGATGTACTACTATTTTTTTTTTTTTGGTTAAGAAATACAACCGCATTTTATTATCACTTTTTTCCTTTTTTTTCTTTCAGTTGCTCAATTTGTGGTGCCCAAATTATAAATGAAAAGATGTTTTACTGGTCTTTTTTTTTTTGTAAGTTAAGGCAGCGTATATTTCATAAACACTCACATACAATAATGCAGATGCCACTTAGACAGATTAGGTTAGGTCTTTTGTAATTGAACTTCTAGAATGAAAGTTCCAAAATTGTTGTTTAATTCCAATTTTAATCTATGAAATATACATAAAGAAAAAAACAACAGTTATATTGTAAGTGTACTTAAGAAAAGTCTCGACTAATTTCAAGCTGTAGTTGCTTTGATTATTTGTTCTAAACAACTTCTTCTACTATTGAAACTGATGTCTCTGTTATAGCTGTAAATTTTATGCAACAACTTTAGAATGACAAGAAACAAGTGTTTTTGGACGAAAGTAAAATTGTCTGGATTGGAAATGGTAAAAAACCACAGGAAATAACGTTGCCAAAACATTTACGGGTGGTAACCACGCATGATCCTCCATTTGTCTACACAACTCCGGTATCAGATTCTAGTCAGTGCAGTACCCTGGGTACTAAACAGATTGAAGGAGCTGAAGTGGTAAAAAATTTTATTTTTTTTTCTTTACCTTTTACAGTAACTAAATCAGAGTTACACAGTTTTTAAATTGGTTATGCAAACAGAACTGTAAAACAGATTTTGTTGGCGAAGAAGTATCTGAAAAGCAGCAGAGCGCAGTTGCACAACAAATTGTTGAGCTAAAATCTGATAAACAGTAATTGACTTTGAATAGCACATTGTATACGGCACATTTGAGCTGTATCAACAAACCTGAACAATTCATAACCAAACATTTCGTACAAACGACAAAGATTATAGCCTATTGCTGTTGTTGACTGAGCAAGAAAAAATGTTTCATACCAAGAAAACCAGTCTAAAATAACAAAAAAAAAAGAGAGAAATTATTGCAGAAAGGTACAGTAAATACTCATGAAAAATGACAAAAATACTAGCAGAAAAATAGAAATTTTTCCATTAACCAAAAACAAACTTTTTTGTCATAATCGATTGAAAGTTTGTAAAGCGAAAAAAAATGAAGAAAAAGATTTCTGAACAGTTAAGAAAACAGTCTTCTTGGTTTTTGCATGCTTTGAACAATAGAATTTTTTCGGATTGGTCCCTGGCATCCATGCGTATTAAACACCAAAACAACAACATTTGTGTACTGCTGTGCCGGTTACGCTATCGATCTGCTTTCAAATCTCTCAATTTCCGAAGTAACCATCACTGCACCTTTACGATCACAACTTATTCTTTATCTTTGTTTTGGTCTTTTTTGTCGTGTTTATCTGGAAGAAGAAAACAGATAAATAAATAAGACTACGCTCTTTGCGAATGGTTTTGAAATCTTACTTGGATTAAGGTTAGAGAGATAACAAATATTAACTAAATTAACGTCCTTCTTAGGTAGCTTATCACAATGAGACCATTCATACTGGTTTTACATTCTGCATTCACTTAAATGACAGCTATGGAATGGTATTTCTGTCTGACGACGGTTATACGCTTAACGGTATGGTAGGAGAACTTGAAGCTGATACAGCTGATTTAGCCGTTGGTGGATTGACAATCAATCCAGAGCGGGAGCAATACATTGATTTTTCAGAACCATGGCTCTATCATGGAATCAGAATTCTGGAAAGATGGGTATATTTCTGGTGCATTGTTTATGAAAATTAAAGAGCATTCTCATGAGCTAAGCTTTTTTGTTTAAGACGCGTGGTAGTACTTCTGAATAAAAAGAGTTTAAAAAATTGAACTAATGTCAGAAAATAATTCAGCAAAAGTAAAACAATTTGTATTTTAACCCCAATTTAGCGATCTCGAGATTCTCCAATGGAGTCGTTTTTGCAACCAATGAAGACAAGTCTTTGGGGTACACTGTTGGCATCTGTACTTCTGGTTGGCTGTGTCATATATCTTCTGGATCTGTATTCACCATTTGACCAGTTTACTATTCAAACAGAAAAAAAAACACTCAATCTGTCAGGAACGTTGTTTCATGAAAATCTTCATGAAAGAGTTAACTTTGGTGAAGCAATGTGGTTTGTTTGGGGTGTTCTGCTGAATAGTGGTGTTTGTGAAAGTAAGTTGTTGATTGAGTTAACGATGTTAATGTTCAACAAAAAAGTTTTTTTTACTTTGATTTATTTTATCAAAATCTAGAAGAATAATCTAAAATTCTCGACTTTTTACAGAAACACCGAGAAGCTGTAGTGCGCGAGTTTTAGGAGTGGTTTGGTGTGGCTTCTGTATGATTATGGTTGCATCCTACACAGCCAATCTTGCCGCATTTTTGGTTTTGGATCAACCTGAAAAAGGCCTCACTGGAATCACCGATCCACGGGTAAGTTGTTTTTCTGTATTGACGGTTAACAAATTAGCAGCAAACTTAAAACACTTTCCGTACCTTATCTTAGCTACGCAATCCGGCTGCAAATTTTACCTTTGGTACAGTGCTAGACACGAATACATATCAGTACTTTAAAAGGCATATTGAATTATCAACAATGCATCGAAATATGGGTCCACATAACGTTAAAACAGCTTCACAAGCTATTCAACGTCTTCTCAATGGGTATTTAATTTATTTTTGTTTTGCTAAACACTTTGTAGAAGTTAGGCCCACTTTATAAAATGTTTAATCGAGGGATGAACATTTTCAGGACTTTGGATGCATTTATATGGGATTCAACAAGGCTTGAGTATGAAGCAGCTAAAAATTGCAAGTTACGAACTCGCGGTACGCTGTTTGGCCGTTCCGCTTATGGTGTAGGATTACAGAAGAATTCACCATGGACCCCACATATAACCAACGCAATTCTGAGATTATCAGAAAGTAGATTTATTCAATTTTTTTCCACCTCGTAATAATAGTAGCAGTTGTTTCATAGCAACTCATAGTTTAAATTTTTCAGTTCTTTTTTACTAGACCGGAACTATACCGTACTTAGGTACTAAAAATATTCTGATTTTGTAGCTTATCGGTTTCATTTGATGCTTTTCCAGGTGGTAAAATGGAGCAATTGCATTCCAAATGGGTTGTATCTGTACAGTCACGACCCTGTGTTCAAAATGAACAAAAAGTACCAGCTAGACTTGGTCTTACCAATATGCGAGGTATGTTTTTTATCTCCTCATAACAAAAACGTTGCTTTTTTGCTGTTTGATGATTGTTATCCAATAAAAATTTCATTGCAAAACAAAAACAGCAAAAAAAAAAAATTGACATGCGATTTTTCAACTGTTTTCTTTTTTTTTTTTTTTTT